TCTCGGGCGGGAGCGGGGGTTCTGGCTAAATTGTAAGAAGGCCTCAGGCAGGAGCCATTGTTGTTGTAACCCGGGGGCCAAGGGGCCAGTTTGAGCAGGAAGACTTTCCCTGGCAAAAAACAAGGTGAGAGCGTCGAGGGGCACACTTTGATTGAGAAAAAACAGGATGCACCGGTGGGGGGGGATCAACAATAATTATTCTTCAGAAGTGAAAATTCAACCATATACTGGAGATAAGACTCCCTTGGAGATCATAAAATTCGTGGCCCTGGCGGGGTGAATCAACTTTTCCCCGGAGACCTCGATGTTCTGCTTGAGACATCATCGAACACCTGATAGTAGCGAATTCGGCAAATCTTCGAAACTGCGCGTTCCGCCTGAGACATCCTCAAAACAATAATCAAACAAAGATGGTTCATATTGCGATGCATGAGATGAAGACCAGAGCTACGATAGGACCATTGGAGGTGATATGAAGTTCGACCTCCCCGCCTGCCGTGGCAACTGAACCACAATTAGTCCCGAGGATCAAGAAATTCAAGAAGTTTAAGGGGGATGCTTTATTACCCGGGGAGTGCGGTTAGCACATCGGTTCTTGAAGCAGGAAGGTGCTCGAAGTAAATTGGGGCCTGGGGTTGTAAACATTCCGATGTTCAACGACCAGCATCCTGGCCAAGGCGAGCCGCAGCCACGAACAAGTCCCATGACCAAGATCTGAATAACAGCCCGAGCACCTGAGCCTCTCCTGAGCCCAACGTGGTCATCACTTCAACGTCCTCAGTGTACGGTTGGGAACATTTGCTTGGCGTGTTGCGGCGGCGGCCCCGGCACCACGCTGTGCTTCGCAAGTGGCTGGCAAGTCGCTCTGCTCCGCGGCGCGGGGGGGAGGCCCAGAAGGAGTCCCGCAGCGCTGCCCCACGCCTGGAATGGCCACCGCCCCGCACCCCCCTGCAACCGCGCACGCCTCCAAAGGTCACTCTTGCCCAGAGCCACCCCTGCGTGTTGCCGATACCGTTTTGGTTTTCACCGGGGACGCACTTGCCCAGGTCAGTGCAAGTCCGGGCCAGTCAGGCTTTGCAGGATCCTGCAGGACCCTGCAAGTTCCTGCAGGATCCTGCACGCCCTGGCCCGGGTCAGTGCAGCCCTGGCCCTGCAGGATCCTGCAAGGCCTGACGCTCTGGCGGACCCCGTCTCTTGTGCAGCTCGAGCCTGGCCCCTGGGCCCTGCGCCGGCCCCAGAGGCTCGGGCGCCGCTGCTGCTGCGGGGGCGCGGGGGCGTGGTCCGCGTGCCGCGCCGCAGCGTGGCGGCCCGGAGCAGGAGCTGCCGCCGTGCGGAGCACGAGCTGCCGGCCGTCAGGCGCACGGGCAGGTATGGGGCGGGGGGGACAGCAGGGGACATGTCGACTCCCATCCCAGGCTTCGTGGGATTTCGAATAAGCCAAAAAATCGGGGGCCCTGGGATATACGAGGACCGCCCATCCTCGATAGGGGTGCGTCCGAAGAGCCCCCTGGAGGCGTATCCAACGGTGTCCCTCCTCTTCTTGGCCGCTTCAATGTCCGCGTGAAAATCGCGGGTTGGGATAGAAACGTCGCCTGCGAGGGGAGGGGGCTCGCACGAGGGAGAGCGCCGCCCACCCCCCCCCCCGGGAGCGGGGCTGCCACGGCGCCTGAGGCGGCACAGCACGCCGGGGGCGCGCTTGGCCCGGGCGAGCAGGGCCTCGTGCAGCGTGACGTACTTGTCCTTCGGCGCGTGCCCGCAGGCCTGCAGCGCCTCCTGCGCGGGGGGGGCGGCGCCCAGCCCTGCGGCCCACGACGCACACATGCCCGCGCCGTGAAGAGAAGTCGCGTCGGACTCTGGCGGTCTTGCGGCCCTCCGCGGGGCCTCCAGGAGGGCCCCTCGTCGACACGGCTGGATCCGCCGCGAGACGCTGGCCACACCTCGGGACAAAGCAAATCGCGGCAGGAGGCCTCTGGCAGTTCTCGGCCTCAAGGGGCCCTCGCCAGAGCCAGGGGCCGTCAAAAAACTCAAGCAGGGGTGAAAAACCTGCCCTGTGGAACGGGTCGGGACTTCTGGAGACCTCGCATGGCAACAAGGCAATACCTACACCGACTGTCCGTGGTGCACGTTGGAAGGGCAGAGCTTCTGGACATCGCTCTCGGCGGCGCACCCAGGGTTGGGCGCCCGAATTACCCAGGGTAACTCGGGAGGAGGAGGAGGAGGAGGAGGAGGAGGAGGAGGAGGAGGAGGAGGAGGAGGAGCCCCTGATGATTCGGGGCTCTGACAGGGGGCGGAGGACGCGCAGGCCAGGGCGAGGGGGACGAAAACGGCCGCGGCCGCGGGCTGAGCCGGCGGCCAGGCACAGGTACACACACGGCCCTCCGGGGTGGACGCTGCTGCCCCCCTGGGGCCGCAGTGCCCGCGGAGTGTCAGACGGTAGGGAGCCTGACCACAAGAAACCTTCCACAAGAAACTGGCGTTCGACATTCGGCTTCTCGACATTTCGATTTGTTTGGTTCTTTTTGATTCGGAGTTTCGACGTCTTGCGTGAATGTTTTTTTTTTTGATTCGGCGTTTCGACACTGGGCGGAGGGGGGAGGGGGGTCCGGCTCCGGACCTCTGCTCAGTGCGACGGTTCGGGACCGACCCCACCCGCTCGAAGCAGGCGTCAAAAAGCAGCCAAGATCTACTCCACGGGGGGGGGGAGGAGGAGGGGGAAGGGGTGCGGAGGCCCGCGCCGATCGGTAAGAGAATGAATCTAAAAGACGATCGCCCTGTGAGACCCCAGGGCGGTCGTTTTTTGGTGTGGCGGCGCCCCACGCTCGGGGGGCGGGCCTTTTCCGGCCCTCTGGGCCTCCTCTCCGAGGCGGGAGGGCTTCTCGGGAGGCCGGACACAGGGCTCTCTCTAGCCAGCCCCGCCGCCGCCCCGGACGGCCTGCCCCCTCCTCGCCGGTCGCTCGGGCGCCCACTCCCCGCATCTCAGCTCGGCGTTGTGCGCGCACCTCTGTCGCAGGATGGCCCCCCTACCGAGGACAAAACACGCACACGCCCGAGCGCTGTCAGGAGCAGGCCCGCCCGCCCCCTCCGACCTCCCGCCTCGGCGCACCGCCCGAGGCTGCGGAGGGGCGGCCCAGGGCGAGCTCGCTCTCCGAGGGGCTCCGTGCCGCCCCGGGGGTCTCCGCGGGTGGCTCTCGCCGGGGGAGGCCGCAGACTCCAGATCGTCTCCGCTGGACCACTGAGCCAGCGCTGGACGACTGAGCTTCTAGGCACTCGGGTCCTGGTGCCACGGAGGAACGGGGAGAAGAAGTCACTGCATCAGCAGAAACTTCTGGAACTCCGCGCGGATGGGTTGGATCAGCGCTGGGCCCCCCTCCCTGGCGCGCGGGGCGCGCAGGGGGCGGCGCCGGAGGAGCCGCCAGGGGGGCCCAACGCCGCTCGAAGAACTCCGCGCGGAGCTCCGATCGTTTGTGCTTGTGCCGTTTTGTTTTTCGAGTAAACGCACGGCCCAGCGTCTGACATCAGCCTCTTTTCGACACCTCTGGCACGTGGCTGCCTATACTGCCAGCCGTCCCGCAGCTTGACCCTCAGCTACTCTGAGGGGCCGTGCTCGCGCACACGTTCCCATCACACCGTTTGCGTCGGCGGCTAGTCAGAGGTCGTCTGCGCTGGCGGAAGAAGCTATGTAAACGGGGGTGCTGTTGTAGCGACTTGGCCAGCATGCAAGAGGAGGAGGAGGAGGAGGAGAAGGGACGGAGCGGGCGGCCGCAGGGGGGGAAAAGCGAAGGCCACTCAGGGAGGCGCTCCCGTCTCACATGCTGCCATGCCGTGCTGCCATCTACAATCCCCGTCTCCACGTTCCGCACCGTGCCGGTGCGCGCGAGGCGGGTGTCAAGACGGCTGCAGAGCATGCCTCGTCGACATGCTCTAGCAAGCCCACTCCGCACACGGGTCCTCCTCCTCTTCTTCCTCCTCCTCCTCCTCCTTCCTCCTTCATCCTCCTCCTCCTTTTCCTCCTCCTCCTCCTCCTTCTCCTCTCCTCTCCTCTCCTCTCCTCTCACATACCCCACTCTATTGTTACATGTTCTGGTTTATGCTCCTCCGCCTCCATCCTCATCTCATGCCTCCTCCTCTTCCTCCTCCCCCTCCTCCTTCCTCCTCGCCCGTCCTCCTCCTCCTCCTCCTGACCCCCCCCTCCTCCGCCCCGCCTCCTCTTGCATGGGCAAGCCGCGGGGCAAGCATTCGAGGCGCCAGGCAGCGCCGACAGACCCGCGGGGCTCCCCCACAGGCGCACGGCTACCCTCCTCCTCCTCCTCCTCCTCTCCTCGCTCCTCTCCTCCTCATTCTCCTTCCCCTCCTCCTCCTCCTCCTCCTCCTTTTCCTCCTCCTCCTCCTCCTCCTCGTCCTTCTCCTCTCCTCTCCTCTCCTCGCCTCTCCTCTCCTCTCTCTCTCCTACTCCTCTCCTCCTCGCTCCTCCTCCTCTCCTCCTCCCCTAACCTCCTCCTCCTCCTCCTCTTCCTCCTCCCCTCTACTCCCTCCCCTCCCCGTCCTCCTCCTCCTCCTCCTGAACCCCCATCCTCCCGACCCGCCTCCTCTTGACATGGAAGCCGCGGGAGCAAGCATTCGAGGCGCCAGGCAGCGGGCCGAGAGGCCGCGGGCTCCCCCGACGGCCGCACGGCTCCCTCCTCCTCCTTCTCCTCCTCCTCCTCCTCCTCCTTGCTCTTCCTCCTCCTCCCTCCTCCTCCTCCTCCTTTCCTCCTCTCCTCCTCCTCCTCCTTCTCCTCTCCTCTCCTCTCCTCTCCTCTCCTCTCCTCCTCCTCTCCTCTCTCCCTCTCCTCTTCCTCCTCCTCCTCCTCCTCCTCTCCTCCTCCTCCTCCCTCCTCCTCCTCCCCCTCCTCCTCCTCCTCCTCCCTCTCCTCCCCTCCTCCTCCTCCTCCTCCTCCTCCTCCTCCTCCTCCTCCTCCTCCTCCTTCCCCCTCTTCTCCTCCTCCTCCTCCTCCTCCTACTCCTCCTCCTCCTCCTCCTCCTCCTCCTCCTCCTATGCCTCCTCCTCCTCCTCCTCCTCCTCCTCCTCCTCCTCCTCCTATGCCTCCTCCTCCTCCTCCATTTCTTTTCCGTGTGAATAACTTCTCCCTGTCGCACCCCGAGGCCACTTTTTAGGGCGGGCTGGGCGTTTTGCCTGAGACTTTCTCATCAACTATGACTGAAGCTTACAAATTGGCAGCAGCTTCGCAGATGGAGGGCGGGTGGATTTCGAAATGTGGCTCTCGCCTTAGCGCGGCGAGCACTCGTTGTACACATTTGCAAGGAGCTTCACGGATTGAGGGCGGGTGGTTTCAAAATGCGAATATCGCCTTAGCGCCGCGCACACTCGTTTATGATTGTTCCAAGAATTTCAAAGAGTTTGACGGGCTCCCATCATCAACGTACCCAACATTGTTCTGAAAAGATTCAGGATTACGCGGGCGCAACCGTTACGTTGATTCGCTGTGTTGAAGTCCCAGGGGTGGCGTTCTGGCACGATTCTGGATTGTCAACACGCAACAGTCAGGTTGATCCGCGTTGGAATCCCACGAACTATGATTTGGCATGCTTCAGAGTCTGCAAGCGGTTGTTTTCCAACGAAACAGTTCCTCCAGTTCAAATGAACCGTTGTATGGGGCCTGTGATGAGGGAGGCTGGAGGGCGGGTTTATTCCAACATCGTTGATGACTCTTGGGTTGACACTGGTCCTCCTCCTCTTCCTCAATCCTCCTCCTCCTCCTCCTCCCCCCCTCCTCCTCCTCCTCCTCCTCCTACCTCCTCCTCCTCCTCCTCCTCCTCCTCCTCCTCCTCCTCCTCCTCCTCCTCCTCCTCCTCCTCCTCCTCCTCCTCCTCCTCCTCCTCCTCCTCCTCCCCTCTTCCTTCCGAGCCGCTTGGCGACGCCGCTCCGCACGGCGCCGCGGCCGGCCGGGCCGCGCCCCTTTCACCCCGCGGACAGCTGCCTGCCGCGCGGCTTCCCTCCCCACGGCCGGGGCGCCGAGGGGGGTGACGCCCGCCCGACGCTGTGCGGGGGCGCCGCCCTCGAGAGGGGTCCCTCGCGCCCCCCCCCCCCCCCCCCTGCGTAGGACAGGCGGAGCGCCGCGCGGGGGCAGCCCCCGGGCCGGCCCGGCAGCCCCGCCGGGGGCGGGCTGCGGCACGGCGGGTGCTCGGCCCGGAGCGGAGAGGCGCAGAGTTTGACGCCGCGGAGGCAGGGCCACGGGGGCAAGCGGGCAGGCCGGGGCCAGAGGCAGGAGCCAGGGGGGGGGGGGGGGGGACAGGGGCCGCAGGGGGGGGGCAGGGGGCAGAGGGGGGGAGGAGGGGCAGCAGGGCGCAGGCAGGGCGGCCAGGAGAAGGGGGGGCGGGGGGGGGGGGCGGCCCCGGGGCAGGAGGGGGCAGCAGACGCACGAGGGGCAGCGGGGGAGGGCCGGGCCAGGCCGCGGACCCGCGGGCGCGGGCGGGGCCAGGACGGCGGCGGGCCCAGGCAGGGCCCTCCTCCTCCTCCTCCTCCTCTCCTCCTCCTCCTCCTCCTCCTCCTCCTCCTCCTCCCCCTCCCCCTCCTCCTCCTCCTCCTCCTCCTCCTCCTCCTCCTCCTCCTCCTCCTCTGTGACGACGACGTGTTGCCGCAACCTCACCCACACAGATCTGGAGGGAGCGCGCCGAGACCACTGCGACTCGGTTTGCTGCTCCTCCGCCGCAACTCCAGCGCAATTCCAGCAACAACAGCGGCACCGCCTGGAGGATTTGTTGCCCCCTCGGGGCTTGCAGTGGCCGCGCTGCGGGCTAAAGTGTAACTGACGAGACTGATCGTCGGGCATACGCTGACATGGATCAGGGATCCGTGGATCTGGCGACTGGGCGCCAGATCCACGGATCGAGCAATGCACCACCCCGCAATATATTAGGCCAGTGCCGCCTGATCTGACAACGGAGCGCGCCGAGCCTGCACAGAAGCAGCACCCGTCGCTAATCCACGAATCCACGCATCTTGATTCATGTCCGCGCTCCCGCAAGACATCCGGTGCAGGTCCAGCCTCGAGGCGAGGCTAGCCATCGCCCACGAGTTCGGCGCTTGAGCTGAACAGCAGATCGGCGAGCCCCCTCCGCCGCCCCACGACGCCACGCTCGCGGCGCACCGGCGGCAGGTAATCACTGAAGGCTGGGATGCTATCCCGTTGAAGAAGGAGATCGAAGATCAACGCAGAGGCGACTCTGAAATGACATCGAACATCAACGAACATCCTACCGCAGAGACCTGCAAGTGCCACCTTCCTTTCTTCCCTCTACCTTCCCTCTCCACCCATCATCCCCCCCCTGGCACTCCTATCGCCAAGCCGGACCCAAGCTTCCATTCGCCACCCCAACACCCTATTATGCCAGCGACTGCTGCTATTCGACTCTGGTTGGCACTCATATCGTGTTGGGGGTTGGGTGGACCTTGAGTCCTGGGGGAACGGGAACTTCCATCGGCCCGCCCCCGACCGCACCCCCCCCCACATGAAAAAAAATATCTTGGGCACCACGTTCAGTTTCCTCCGCGAGAGATAGCGGCAGGGCGTCAGCTGCGGAGCTGCGCCCGGTTCCCGGAAGGGCAGGGCTTCCGGCGGGCTGCGTGTCGGGGTGCGCTGCATCCGATTGGGTTTAGGTCGGGCCTATCCCCCTGCAGGGGGATTTGGGAGGAGAACTTTAGACGAAAGGCCCCACAAATAATCCACAAATATTCAAAATCGTCCCAAGACTATGTTTGACTACTTTTGAATACTCTTCCTGCAGAGGGACAGGCCCGACTTACGACTGGGAATGTTCTTGCCCCGGCTCGTCCCCCGCTCTAGGCCAAAGTCAAGTCATGCAATGATGTACTGCGATGCTCGCACCCTTCACTCTCATCCTCATGTTCATAAGACTCTCTCTCCCTCTCGATGTCATCATCAACGTCCCTGCACCCCACATTATCACCACTGTGCGGCCACAGCGTTGCGCTGGCCACGGGTCCTGGAAAGCCTTGTTGATGGCTGCGCCACCGACATACAACATATAGTCTCCCGCGTTCACCTTAGGGCGCTCCGGAAAGCTCAGCCAAAGCAGTCCAATGCCGTCCCTGGTGCGAATGCAGAATTAGGCCAAGTCCCACCATGCTCCTGATCCGATCTCGGGCATACTGCAACCCTGGAACAAAAGAAAACAGCATCAACAGAAGAGACGGGAGAGGACGGAGGAATAAGATACGAAGAGTCTATGGCGCTCGCTGAGGCGAAATTGTCTCCAGGGTCTTTCAAGTAGATTGAAGAGAACTTCCCCTTGCCCGGGTTGTCGAACCGCACTTTCAGCCCCGCAGCGTCGAACTTGACAAGCCGGGCCTGGCGATCGACCTCTTCTCATGCCCGCTACCGTACAAGAACTTTGTCCCCCTCTCCCTCCTCCTCCCCCTCCTCCTCCTCCTCCTCCTCCTCCTCCTCCTCCTCCTCCGCCCTCCTCAGCAACCTTCTCCTCCTCCTCCTCCTCCATCTCCTCCTCCTCCTCCTCCTCCTCCTCCTCCTCCTCCTCCTCCTCCGTTCTCCCATCCCCCGCCTCGACAACCTCCTTCTCCCCTGCCTCCTGCCCGTCCCTTCACTCCCAATTTCTCGGCACCCGAGCACCGCCCGTGCTCCAGGGCTTCTCGCCTCCCCTCGCGGGGGCGAGCGCGCGCGCCGCCCCCGCCCCATCTGGGCGCCATGTCGCCGCCCAAGAGGGGCGCTCCGCGGCTGTGCACGGCTCTCTGCGCTGCCCTGCTCTGATCTTTGCGCACCGCCTCGCGGAGCCCTGCAGAGTGCGCTGTCTGCACTGCTCGCAGGGCACGGCTTCTGCACTGCTCCTCTCTGCGCTGCCCTGTGCTGTTTTTTTTTGCACTGCCTCGCAGAGCCCTGCAGCGTTCGCTGATGGCACTGCTCGCAGAGCACTGCTCCTGCGCTGCTCTGCTCCGCGCTGCCCTGTTCTGCTTCTTGCACCGCCACGCGCCGGCTCGCAGCGCTCCAGGCTGCTTCGCGCTGCCCTGCGCTGCTCTGCACCGCTTCGCGCTTCTGCTGCGCCAGGCTCCTTTGAATCACCCTGCGTTGCGCAACATCGATGTGCACTGCCTTGCGCTGAACCACGCTGCTTGCACATCGGGGGCGCTAGAACCTACGCTGTCAAGGGTCCGCGCGCTGGCGTCGCCTTCCTCGTTTCCGCCATCGACTCTCCTTCTTCCTCGTCCTTTTCTGAAAGCCGTGGGAAATCCGCACAAAGATGGCACTCCCCACCGCCCTCGTCACTCCGCGGGAACGATCTGCCGTGCCTCGGGTGACGCTGTCCGGTTCCCCCTTCTGATCGCTCGCTTCTTGCAAGTTCTTCTCAGTAGCCTCACTCCCAAACCCCCGCCCTCCCACCACCCCATTCATGCCCGCGGGGGGACATGGTTACAGAAACACGCGGGGCATGCTGCCACTCACATCGCCACCGGCACCTTGACAGCGCGTATTAGAAAATAGGCTTTCGACTCGAAACAAACGCTCCTGCTCGTCACCGTCACAAGGCTGATGAGCGTGTCCTCTGAGCGCGGTTGGCGGAATCGAACCTCGCCCCCACGCCGGAGGCGGATGCAGAGGCCAAGGTCAAGGTGTCAGGAGGCCAACGGGTGCAAGAACCACCGCTGCAGGAGCCCTACGAGCAATATGGATGCGAGTGCCCCTCTGCGAGAGCAGGTTGGCGACTCCAGAAACCCTGGATCCAAGCGTGCCGACGTCTCGCTTGCAGTAGGAACTCGGCTACAGAGTGAGCTTACCCCAGGATGTACATCCCGTTGAGCCTACGAGTTCTACGCCGGCTGCTCCGAAGATCTGCCGAACTGTCTACGTACGCATCTTCCGCACATTCAGCGGAGAAATCGAATCCCAGGTACATCAGTTCCGCAGTCGGCTCCATATTCGACCACCGATCGACGGAGAAACGCCGCCACTCTATGTCCGCCGCCTCCCGCCCCGCTTCCACACCAGGATAAGTCGGGCACGTCCCCCCTCTACAAGAGGAATGCTCCAAGATAGTCAAAAAAGTAGTCTGGGGACGATGCTCGCACTATTAATTGGCTATTTTTGTACATTTGTTGGAAACTTTTTGGTTTTTCGTCCCAAGTCCGCCTGCAGGAGAACATGCCCGACCTAACACCTGGGGTTACGTTGCTCCCACCGTACTTTGGGACCACGTCCCAGAAATAGCTCCGAGAACCCGAAAAAAAGCGAAAGAGCGTCGAGACAGTGTCGAAGCAGTGGCGGACGAGTGTCTCCCGGGGCCCGACGCGTGAAAACCCTTGCGTTGTTGGGTACTTTCCTGGAGCTCGAAACTCTTTCTGGGGATCGAGGCTAACACTGGGGATCCCAAGACCGTGCGGTGACAGACCGTGTGGTGACCTCGGAACCCCAAGAGACCTCACCGCACGGTCCGTCACCACACGGTTTTGGGACCCTGGAGGCTCCAGTCGTCCGAAACATCCTCGGAGAACGACCCAAGTCCCAAAACCGCGAGGTGACCCCGAATCCCCACCGACTCACCACACGGTGTGGTCACCACCCCGTTTGGGGCCCCCGATGACAGTAGGCTGGAACACCAGAAACCCCGGGGGCGAGACGGCGACGCCGCAGGCGAGGCCCCGTCTGCGCCTGGCCTGCGCGGGCCCAGGCCCCCGACGAGGCGCGCTCTGCTCGCAGCGCGGCGCCGCAGAAGCCCGGACTGGGACGCACGAGGACGCACCGGTGCCGTGTCGTCTCCATGGGCCCAGATCGGGTCGGGCGAAAGGGGGGGATAGCAAAGGGGGGGTTTGAGAATCAGCTCACGTAGCTGATGTTCCCGGCGCCTCCCGGCGCCGGAGGCGGCTATGTATCGAGGAATGGGCCCCTCGGTGAGGTCCCCCCTTTCGCCCGACCCGACCAGAGATAGGAAAAAGAGCTATGCACATGCACCGATTCTGGCCAGGCCCATCCTGAGCTCAGCATCGGTGCATGCGCCGCCCTCCCACCTTGGCCAGGAAGGCACATGCACCGATCCTGGGTGAAGGATGGGCCTTGCCAGGACCTGTGCATGTGCATAGCTCGCTTCGCCCGACCAGACCCCCTCGGGCATTTACAGAAATCATGACGGAAGGTTTTTTGCTATTTTCGGCCCCTGGGGGCCCCTACCGGCCCTCGGGACCGTCAACAAAACGGCTCAGGATGAAACACCCGTCCTGGGGAATGGGTCGAGACCTCTGGGGGTCGACGCAATGAAAAAATCATGACATCGGATCTCTGGGGAGGCGTCCATCCGACCCAGACATATATTCCCCAATCAGTGCTTGCACTGAAGGGGTCCTAGCGGAAATTGGAAGATTTGGCGAGGGTTTCCCGCCGATGTTGGTGGCCGGCTGGGTTCCTGGGTTCCCAACTCCGGGTTCCCGGATTCCTGGTTATTGGTTCCGGGCCGATTTCGGTGAGTTCCGGGTTCCCGATTTCCTGGGTTCTCGGTCGATCTCCTTATCGATCTATGTATCGATCCCATTTCGAACCATCCACTGATTGGGAATTTTTCTCTGGTGTAAAAGTATACCCATCTTGAAGTACCTCGTCCCCCTAGCGGTGGGCGATTTCGGACACCCTGAGCCCAAAAACCTTGTGATCTCTTCGGGGGCGCGTCTTTTACTTCCGCCGCCTTTCGCCGCCCTTCCCCGCCGCCTTTCGCCGAGCTTCTGCCGGCTCCCGCCGGCGGAGGCGGCCTTGGTTTACTTCCGCCGACCTTCCGCCGCCCTTCCGCCGCCGAAGAGACGACAGCTCCTTCTATCCTCGAAGACAAGGCCTTTTTCGGAGCGCCCCATGTATCCTCCTCGCAGCGTTCATCCGACCCATACATATAGTACACCCATCGTGTAGTACATCGTCACCCGAGCGGTGTAGCCAGCAAGCGCCCGCCACGACGCACATACTACAAGATTTCTCGGTAAGCGCGTCGCCCCTGGGGGGGAGGCGACGTACACATAGTATTGGTATGTTGGGGCGACGCAGACCAAAAGTCTGGACCCCTTTTCCCAGGATCGTTTCTTTTTATCCGAGCAATTTGTTGACGGCCCCTGGGACTGTCAAAAACTTTGGCTCGTGATTCTGTCACGACGCGAGGGGGTCATCGGGGAACCAGAAGGTACTCTCCCAGGGTGCGTTCCGACCAAAATTTCGAGGCGAATCCAGAGGTGGCGACGCGGGTCTCCCAGGAGGCCCAAGAGGGGGAAAACGAGAGACGGGTAGCGGTATGGGTGCCATTTCTTCGTCTGAGGTCTGAGAGCAACACCGTGATCACTCAAGACAAGAGCCCTGAACCCCCTTCTGTGTGCGACATGTGTCGAGCCCGATCGATCTGCGAGGGCCCCAGGACTCGGAGCCTAAGTACTTAGGCGACACCGCCTGGCGTGACAAAAATCGCAGCGCCCGGCTCTGAGAGCTTCTGGAACGCGCCAACCCCCGACCTCCTCAAGTCATGGCAGAAATCACGACTGGGCCCCTGGGGGCCCCTACCGGGCCTCGGGACCGTCAAGAAACGAATCAGGATGAGAAACCGGTCCTGGGGGATGGGTCCAGACCTCTGGAGGTCGACGTCATGAGAAACTCATGACGTTGGGGGTCTGGGGCTGAGCGACGAGAACAATTTGACCTTACGCAAGATGGCATGGCGACTTTACGCCGCGACTTGGGCGGGTCACCGACGTGGCACGCTATATTGGAAACGTGAGCGCGTACGCGCCATCTTGCGAGGGCATCTTACATGCGAATGCCCACGCAAACGAGCCTGTTCGTTTTTTTTCTGCGCCGCTCAAACGGAGGTATCGACGCGACGGTTCCTGAGATCCCACGCTTCGGGGATAAATCTATGATGATATTCATACATATGTTTATATATAGATATATAAATAGATAGATAGATAGATAGATAGATAGATAGATATATAGATAGATAGATCGATAGATAGATAGATAGATAGATAGATAGATAGATAGATAGATAAACAGATAAATAGACAGGTAGATAGATATATCGATAGATAGATATATTACGAGGCCGATGTGGCATCACCGCAGCAATTCGGCCCCTGACTGTCGTCCTGGGCTCGGTTTAGTGATGTGATGAATTTCGGGGTCCTTACGTGGGACAAAACATCACTTCACTAATCTGGGGCCCCTGGGGCCTCAGTGGGCCCTGGGGCGCAAAATTAGTGAAGTGATGGTTTTCGGGCCTCGGATAGATAGATAGATCGATAAATAGATATATAGATACAGATCAGGATGAGGGGGCTGAACCGAACGCTCATTCACTGTCCCTGGGTGCGTGGCTGAAGTGGAATTCCGCAATGTTGATTGTTGTTGTTGTTGTTGTTGTTGTGTGTTGTTCGTTGTTGTCGTCGTCCCACCCGCGACCCGCCCCGCGACCCACCCGCGACCCACCCCGCGACCCACCCGCGACCCACCCGCGACCCACCCCGCGACCCACCCGCGACCCACCCCGCGACCCACCCGCGACCCACCCGCGACCCACCCGCGACCCACGACCCACCCCGCGACCCACCCAGAATTCTCGGCGCCTGCGGCGGATTTCTTTTGCATCCGTTCCAGGTGGAGAGAGAACCTGCGACCCACCCGCGACCCAAACCGCGCCCGCGACCCACCCGCGACCCACCGCAACTCACCCGCGACCCACCCGCGACACACCCCGCGAACCACCCACAAATTTCGGCGCCCGCGGCAGGCTTCTTCTGCATTCGTTCCAGGTGGAGAACCTGCGACCCACCCGCGACCCAAACCGCGTTCAGTTTACAAATCAAAATGTTCGGCGCCTGCGGCGGGCTGTTTTTGAATTCCTTCCAGGTGGAGGTGGAGAGCCCGCGACCCGCCCGCGACCCAAACTACGTTCACTGAACAAGCCACAAATTCGGCGCCTGCGGCGGGCTGTTTTTGCATTCGTTCTGGGTGACCCACCAGCGATCCCCCCCGCGCTGAACTTGTCAGAGCACGCAAATCGGCGCCTGCGGCGGGTTTGCTCGCATTGGTTTGGGAAAGCGCCCTCGTGCCATTCCCCCGATCCGGCCCACGTTGACTCTACAACGGCACATCGGCGCCTGCGGTGGGGCTGTGTCTGAACACGTTCATTGACAATCCAGCTGCCTGCTGCAATTCGGCATCCGTGCCCAAAGCCTGGGTTCAGGGGAAGCTGCCTCAAGGCGCCCACAATTAAGGCGCCTCGGGGCGCTCAGGGACCCTCCTGAAGGGGGCGCCCATGAGGAGGAGGAGGAGGAGGAGGAGGAGGAGGAGGAGGAGGAAAAGGAGGAAGAGGAGTAGGAGGTGGAGAAGGAGGCGGACGACGACGACGACGACGACGACGACGACGACGACGACGACGACGACGACGACGACGACGACGACGATGAGGACGATGACGCGGACGAGGAAGAGGGGGAGGAGCAGGCGGAGGAGGAGGAGGAGGAGGAGGGCGCCATCGACAGGGAAGGTGAGGGCCACGAGGTCCGCCGGCTCGACGCCCGCGTCGCCCGCGCCCGCCCCCTCAATCTTATCCGCAATTGCAGGGTGCTGCGTATATGTGTATCATCGGCAAACAATCACAGCTGGAGCCCCGAACCCCATTTTTCTGCGCCACCGCTCGAGCTGGATCCGATCTATGAGGGCCCCGAGAGCCCGAAGCCCGGCGAACGCGGCAGCATCCGGCGACTCCGAGGGGGGTGGTTTGCAAAGGGTGTGGTTTGCAACCGGCACGCTGAGGGACGAGGACAGTGTCGTGCCCCCAGACCCCAACGGTTCCGATCGCAAAAAGGAAGAGGAGGAGGAGGAGGAGGAGCAGGAGGAGGAGGAGCAGGAGGGAGAGGAGGAGGAGGAGGAGGAGGAGGAGGAGGAGGAGGAGGAGGAGGAGGAGGAGGAGGGAGAGGAAGGAGGAGCAGGAGGAGGAGGAGGAGGAGGAGGAGGAGGAGGAAGAGGAGGAGGAGGAGGAGCAGGAGGAGGAGAAGCAGGAGCAGGAGGAGAAGGAGGAGGAGGAGGAGGAGGAGGAGGAGGAGGAGGAGCGCCTCGTCCGCCTCCGGAGCCGGGCGCTTCGTCGGCGGCGTGGCGGCGGCCTCGGCGGCAGGCGGCGCCTCGGAAGGCCTCGGGGCCTCGGCGGCGGGGCCCTCCACGGGCGGCGCGGCGGCGGCCCCCACGGCGCCCTCCGCGGACCTCGGCGCAGGCCGCGGCCGCACAGCGGGCCAGTCGGAGGAGGTCGGCGGCGCGCAGGGCAGGGAGGGGGGCAGCGTGAGAGAGGCAGCACGGGCCTCGTGGCGGACCGTGCTGCGCCTTGCGGGCCCTGGGGCCCCGATGCGTGGCGGGAGGGCCCGCCGGGCCTGGCCCTCCCCCGCGAGGCGTGCCGCGGAGGGGATGGGTGGCGGCGCGCACAAGAGGGCCCCTTCGAAGGAGGCCGCTTCTTAGCAGGCGGCGGCCCTGCATCTACAGATACACGTCGTTCATGTCTGCGCGTGCTCACTTCGAATTGTGCTCGTTTCTGGTTGTGCCTGGCCCCCCGCGTGGCCAGGAAGAGGCCCAGAATAGAACACGCAGAAATCAAAGGATCTTGGCCCCCAAAACATCAAATAATCCTCACGTCCTTAGACATGGCAATTTGTGTAAGGCCCGCGCCTTCTGAGAAGCAGGGGTGCTTCTAAGAAGCCCTCACCCCGCCCCTCGCCCTCCCCCTTCTGCGCGTGGCTGGGGAGGGCCGGTCGAGGCAGCGGCGGCGCTCCCTGGCGTCTGGCGCCCTGCTTGGGCCTCCTCCAGGCTCCTCGTCGCCACGGCGGGAACCGCCTCGAAAAACTTGTCACGGGTCAGGTTCGAGGTGCGGGTTTCGACCCAATTGTTGTTGCCTCTTTCTGCCTCCAGGGGTCGTTTCTGGACCCGGGGACCGTCAGAAACGGATCCTGGGTGCAAAAGTGCACCAGGTGGACCCTGGGAGGGGTCTGGGGAACGACTTTGACCCGCCCCAAAGATGAACCTGACGCGATCTGTCTCAGGAGCTCTGACCTTGAAGACTAGCAAGAGACGGGCTAGGTGGCAAGAGGCGTGCAGTCACTTGGGATTCAGCATGGGTGCGCTGCCACACGATACGGCGCTGCTTGCTTCGGCTGGGAACGATTGTTCTCCAATTGATTTCACTCTGTGGTTCTGATGAGGGTAGAATGATCCGGAATCGCTCCTGGGGGATCCTGGCGGCTCCAGCTGGGTCGGCCCGCGGTAGCCAGAATCTGCGTCTCATCAAATAGGATGCCTCTCGGGCGTTTGTGGAGACTCGTGCGTATTTGGCTGCACATTGCATAGAAGTCTCAAGCGGGGGCTTCGCCTCTAGTCGATTGTAAGCATGTCTCTAGAGGGAGCTCAGCTTCTCATCCGAACCAACCCTGGCCTCCCACTCCGTCTGCACAATGCCTCCGCTTGGCTCGGGCACCGAGGATCCGTTCTCTTAGACCCCGCCAAGCCATCAATGTTCGCCTGGAACCAACACTGACCTCCCACCCGCCCCTACCAGGCCCCGACACGAACCCCAACTTCGGCCTGACTCAAGCCGAGCTGTGTAAGACGTAAACATGTCTTCCAAGTGTGCTGAACGTAAGCATGTTCGGCACAGGTGTCTGCACGAACTAATGAAGCTAGCCCCTTAGGCGGGGCGGGCGCAACTTAGCAGGCAAACTGTTACACCACCACCCTTCCTTCCCGTCGGGGAAGGCGTTTACCCCTTCCCATACCTGCATCCCTTCTGGTCTGGGCCAGGGGCCCACGAGGCCACTATTCGGCGGCGCGCCCAAGTGGAAGTGAGAAGGAGCAGGCCTCCTCAGAAGGCGGCGGGCCTCCTCAGAACCCTCTGGCCTTCTGGGAAGTTTCTGTGTCTTCGGGGAAAGCTCAGGAAACTTCTCAAAATGTCGTCGGCCTTCCAGACCGACTGAGAAGGCCCACCCCGTCTCGCTTCCCCCCCAGGCTCGCCGCCGAACTATGGATTCAAGATGCCCCAACTAGCCCAATGTTGTCCCCAACATGAACGCAGGAGATGACAACCCCCGACCCCGAGGCCAACCACAAAACGGCCCCGAGTGCCCACGCACGCGATCCAAAGGAACCCCCCACCTCAAGAGGTCCACCTCGACGGGTGAATGTATGGCTGCCTCCTCGCGGTCTTCGCGCCCCCTCTTTGGCACGACGAGCCAGGTAGCGCATCACGTGTGCATTCGGGTCGCTCCGACGAAGCGCCCCCCCATCCTGTAGAACCGTGTGCGGAGGGAACGTGATGCTCCTCATTGTGTTTCCTCCCCACTGCCGCTCAGCCTTCTCCTCATCGTAAATGTCTTCGCCCTCCTTTCCCCGTCCCGTCCTCTTCCTGCTCCTCCTTGCCCTCCTCCCTTTTTTCTTGTCATGACACCCCACATCGCTTTCATCACCTCGCCCATACCATACGTATGTTGACGATCCTTCCGCGATAACCACATATATGGCAACGGCGTCTTTCACTGATGCTGACGTTAACATGTTGATATCGACGTTGTCGATTTCTGGTTAAGACATGATGTTCTTGATGTAGACGCTGATGATGTTCGGGATGGTGAACGTACTGGTGGTGATAATGATGATGGCGATCACGACGATGATGCTGTCAGAGATGGTGATGATGATGACGATTCTTATAATGCGCGTGAAACAAAGTACGATGGTGACGGCGATGCTGACGACTCGGATGATACTGGTGAGCATAGTTGTGGTGATGGTGGTAGTGACAGTGATGATCATGATGTAGATGCTGATGTTCGTTGTACCGATGCTATGGAGTTGACGATGGTGATGATTACGAGCATGCCGATGCTGCTACTGATACTGATGATGGTGCTGCGGATGATGAAGATGATGATGCTGACGATAGCGATGGTTGTGATGCAATGTGCGATGATGGTTGTGATGATGCTGCTGATGATGACGATGGCGATGATGACGAGTGTGATGGGGATGGCGATGATGACGATGGTGCTGCGCATGATGACGGTGACTTTTATGATAATGATGATTGTGATGACGATGATGATTATGATGATGATGATGAAATGATGATGATGAGATGATGATGATGATGATGATGATGATGATGATGATGATGATGATGATGATGATGTCGCCGATGGTGATGCTAATGACGATGGTGTGGACCCTGTATGCAACATCCTGGTGTAGCGCATACGTTGGATGATCATGCTGTTTTTGTGCGTAGCTCGCCATGCCGCGTCATCCGGGATTGTCTTAGCAACAAGCTGTGCTGGAATAGAAAACTGACTGTGAGTCCATATGGATCGGCGATCACCAGCGGCGCAGACTACATCAGTGCCCACGAGCTCAAAAATCATACCATCTACGAGGTATGCTGAAACATGAACAGCCAACGAGGGACAACCGCATGCGCCGTACGGCATAAAGCTATTGTCACTCCATTGACCTTGCAGAGGTGCTGCAGCGGATTCGCGCGTGGCTTTCTGTCAATGCAAAACCCCGAAACAGCGAGTGAACAACGACGTGAATTTCGCGTGGATGTTTTTAAATCTTAATTCCTGGCCCCGATAAAAACGGAACGAAATTATCCAGGACACTCCGGGCCCACCCTATCGTTTTCCGAACGAAATCCACTCTGCGATGTTGGCGCCATGATACGAAGTATGCTGGAAAATGAATAGCCAACGAGGGACAACCGTATGTGCCGAACGGCATCGGGCTATTGTCACACGGGCCTGCACATCAAGGCAAACATGACCCCACCGCATGCGTTCGATCTAAGCTGGGTACCGGATCACATCAGGGAGTAGCACACACTACTGCAACCTAAGAAGCATGCGACTCTCAGACAACCAACATGCTACTCTCAGAACTCAGAACCAGCCGTGACGCGGGTTTTGGACAAGTGGCATTCTGCTGCTGTTTCCAGTCCCTCGACTTCTCCGCGTAGGACGATGCATGCATGTTATTCCATAAAGCTACTGCCATGCCCTGATGCGATGCCAAGTTTGGATGGAAGCAATCTAAACTGTCCATGTCGCTAAGCTCCAGCTGCGCCTCCTGCATGAAGGGCTGAGGGGCCACACCAAAGTCGCCCATGCCCTTCAAATTCCATGTATTGGCAACTTCAATGAGAATCTCATTGTATCGCTTGATGGTCGCAATCCAAAGATGCGTGTCAGTCCAGTGGATCCCCACATGCTCGGAGTACCACTTGAAGAGCTTACAAGTCAGATGCGCTGTGGTTATCTTGGGCTGGAAATTCTCTGGTAACAACACAAGGTTCACAAAAGTTCTGGGAAATACTGCATATACAGAATGCAACAAACGGTCCAAGTTGGTCGCAAAGAGTTCTGGAGATGTGGGTAGCTTATGCGTGTCTGTGGTGTTGTAAAACACCGCGTCGTCCAGCCCGGAGAAAATTGTAAGCAGTTTCCAATCCTCAAGGATGCTCACGTTTGCTGCCCACGGCGCAGTGCCGAGGGTATGATTCAAATAATTGATTTGCAAATCAATCAGATCTTGGAGGTCTGCGCCGTCAACAGCTGAGCCTAAGCGACAAACGCTTACGTCTGCTCCAGCGCATGTTCCATTGATCGTTGGCTTTGAAAGGGTACCAATCGAGGGTCCCACCAACTCACCATTACCTTTGACTGCTGCTATGAGATTAGGCAAGGTCACTGCGTTCCTGTCGCCACCAATAGAAAAGCCAAGACCGCGATGCTCCTTCATGTCTGCTTTCGCGGCTCCGTTGAAACCGGCGGTCATGCTGTCGCCCATCGCCATGATAACTTTGAAATCATCAATGCGAAGATCGTGTATATTGAGTGGTGGGGACTGTCTTGGCAACAATGGATCGCAAGTATGCCCCAAACTGGCCAGAAGCAGTGATATCACGTGAGCCATCATCTGGAAGGCAATGCAAAAAAAGACTTCTTCGCCACAGACCGATGGTCGGACTTCTTCGCCACTTTAGGAACAGCTACCCTTGAGCCCATTCAATCGTTGCCCTGGTTCGCGGGTGACTGCAATGGCTCCCTAAAGAATGCAAATAAACAGTGTTTGCCCTCGCGAGCCCCAACCAATAAGGCGATGCGATGTGGATGTGTAAGCTCTGTGGTGCAAACTACGCGGTGCAGAGTATATGTTGCAAACTGTTTGGTGCAGCCTACGTGGTGCAGTCTACGTGGTGCCAGCTACGAGGCTCGCTCAGTGGTGCCATTTATGTGGTGCAAGCAATGTGCTGTGATGTAGTTGGTGCAATCTTCGCGGTGACAATTATTATATTCAAACGATACGGTGCAAACTATGCGGTGAAATTAATTTCTGTTCGCAGTGAGTTGTCCACTCCACTGCTCGCGCAAACATCCCACCCACCCACCCGCAACTTGGTTTGCAAAATCTCTTAAGACCGTGACGGTGGGTACCACATGGCACTTGGCAACAACAGCGACGCCGACGACGACAGCGACAACGACGATGACGACGCCGCCGACAACGACTACGACGACACCGACGACGTCTCCAACGACTTCGACGACGAAGGTGTCAACTCCACTGCTCGCGCAATCATCCCACCCACCCACCCGCAACTTCGTTTGCAAAACCCATGCGGGACCGAGCACGGATATCGCTCCGGGGTCGTTTTGGAGCACTCGGGAGCGTCTCAAGAGCGCCCCAAGAAGGCCGGACAAGCAAGACGGCCGACGACGACGACGACGACGACGGCGGCGACGACGACGACGTCGACGTCGACGACGACGAAGACGACGCCGACGCCGACGACGACGACGACGACGTCGCCAACGAAGACGACGACGAGGGAGGAGGGAGGACGACGACGGCGGCAACGACGACAACGACGACAACGACGACAACGACGACAACGAGGGAGGAGGGAGGACGGCGACGACGCGAACGACGAAGAAGGAGGAAGGACGGCGACGCCGACGACGACAACGACGAGGGAGGAGGGAAGACGACGACGAGACGACGACGACAACGACGACGACGACGGCGACGAAATAGGAGGGACGACGACGAGACGCCGACGACGGACGACGACGACGACGACGAGGGAGGAGGAAAGACGACCACGGCGACAACGACGACGGAAACGACCACGACGCCAAAGATGACGACGACGACGAACACGAGGAAAGAAAGACACAGGACGACGTAGGCGACGACGACGACGACGCGGGAGAAGGGAGGACTGCGACTACGACGTCGACGACGACGACGACGCCGCAAGAGCGCGCGCGCACGCTTTTGTTGAAAATCCGTGTTGCGAAACCTTGTGTTTTTGTAGGTCTTTTGGATTTTGAAATCCTTCCGAAACCGATGGGTTTCGAAGGATTTCGGCGTACGCGCGCGACGACGCGCGCGTCTGCACTTCGTTGTTTTTTTTGCGGAGGATTCTTGCGACGGCACACGCGCAAGGGCGTTCGACACATTTCGACACATTTCGAATTTTGAAAAACCATAATGGTTTTCTTAAGATTTCGCAAGAGTTCGCGCGGAAGTTTTTTGTAAGCAAATCCGTGTTACGAAACCATGTGTTTTTGTATACTTTTTGGAAACTCGATTGCGAAATCCCTCCGGCAACGAAGGTTTGCATGCGCGCTCGACGACGCGCGCATGCACACTTCGTCCAATATGTTGCAAGGGATTCGTGAACAAGCATTATGTTTGAACAAAAATGTCACCACATAACGCTTGGTACAAAGGGAACCTCAGGGGGGGATACCGGTTGGCCTGGAACATTGCGATATCATATTTAGGATGGACATGTGGTCAAAATCGCATGTGATTTACATACCCGAAAGGGGGGCGATAACGCCGGGGGGGGTAGACCCTACTTTTTTGTGAGAAATGAGAATCTATGCTGGGCAAGCTGTAGGATGCAATCTACGTGTGATTGGTATAAACGGTGGCGCAAGCTCTGTGGTGCACGCTGTGTGGTGCAAGCTTTGACTAACCAATGCAGTGATGATAGAACGCGCCCGTTTCCCCACTGAAGGAAACGGGCCCTCCGCCACGCGATGCGCAAACCATGGAGGAGAAGGAACAAGCGGCGAAAAAAAAAACCAAGACGGACGGAGAAAACGAGGGAGGACAAAAAAACACTAAAAGTGTTCACGTGTCCAGAAATCGCGCCCGGGGCAGATGGCGCGGATCTGAGTACCGTCGACATGCACCGCAAATGTAAAACTCCATCAAGCCGTAGTACCAACGACCGATTGACAGACACCGGCTGGCCCAGGTTAGAACTGGAAGAACCCGCGACTGTTCCAGGTGAACAATTGGTGGCAGTTTAATGCTACGATCTCAAGAGCATCGACGAACCATGGTGGGCCGCCATCTGTCCCGAGATGCTACGTGGTGCAAGCTGCGCGGTGCAAGCTACGTGGTCAAATCCACTCCTGCTGAACATGGACTCGTCATAACCACTGCTCTCGCAAACGTCCCACCGTCCCACCCGCAACTTGTGCTGCAAAGCTCATGATGCGGGGGACTGCGGCGCCACCGATAACGACGTCGATGATAACATCCTCACTGCCGGTGCTCGTCGCGATGCGCCGATGATGAAGGTGAGCATATCGACGATACTTGGACGTGCGCGATGGCAAGATGACGTCGGCAACGTCTGCGACAATGGCGAATATGGCACCAGCGACGACGATGTTCAAGAGGGCGACGGCACGAACGACAACGGCGCGAATGATGGCAAACGCGTTGACGATGCTGGTGTCCATCTGTCGATGCGGCAGGTGATCGCGGTGATGCTGACAAGGTTGAAAACTAAATCCGCGCGCGCGAAGGTTCAACAAACAAATCCGTCGGCCTGATCATGCGCGCGCGGCGGTGCGCGCATGTGGCCCGCGTGGTATCTGCTGCAAGGGATTCGCGCCCTCGGCGCATGACAGGAGCATCGCGGGTGCACCGCGCGGTGACATGACATCGCTGGATTTGAGAGAATCCATGGGGATTCCATTGTTTTCGTATAGTTTTAGCGTGAGCGCGCGGACAGGACATTTGCAAAAGCTGTGTTGCAAACCTTTGGCGTTTTTTTCTTAAGTTTTTATGATGAAATGCTTGCGAACACAGTGTGTTTGGCTGGTTTTTGGAATTGACGCGCGCGTGATGACTTTGTGGTATTTTCTGCCAGGGATTATTGGAATCTGTTGTCTTAAGATGAAGAAGTGCGCGCGCATAGATGATTTGGCACGGGTGGCTGGGGGGGCGATACCGGCCTGGCTGAGATAGTATGAACTCATATTCAGCATGGGCGAATGTGCAGGAGAAGTATGAAATTCCAATACCTCAGGGGGACCGTTAACTCCGGAGGGGGGAGGGGGGGAGAGTTCATTCTTCTTTTAGAACGGAGAACTAATTCCTGTTCGCGGTGAATTGTCCACTCCACTGTTCGCGCAAACATCTCACCCACCCATCCGCAAATTGGCTTGCAAACCTCATGCGGCGGCGATTGCGATGAGTGCTTGGCGCTGGCTGGTGCATCTCTGCGGCCGCGCCTGCCCGCGCAGGCGCGCGCGCAGCGGCCAAGTAGTTTGGTGCGACCGACGCGGCCGCGGTGGTGCTGACCGCTCGGCACATCCCAGCGAGCACTTGGGTGCGAGTCGGCGACTTGAGCGGGTGCGGTATCATTGCAACGTCGACAAGTGTAGACACGATGATGATAATATAACGATGTTGGTGACGATGCTGACAGCGACGATGGAACGGCCAATGACGGCACCGATGCCGATCGCGCCGACGACGATGACGGCGTCTTCGCGTCGGTGATGAAGGTTTTGGGAGGAATCCCACCAGCCCTCTGGGCCTCGGTGCTTTAGAGAGTTTCCTCTTCCACCCCACCTTCTTCCCCATCGGGGAGGGGTTTTACCCCTCCCCCTAATCCGAAAGCCCTTATAACGGCGACGAGGCGACGATCGAAAGCAGTGCCCCGGCACTGCTTTGAACGCGTTCAAAGCAGTGCCCCGGCACTGCTTTGAACGTATGATATGATGATATGATGATGATTATGATTGATGATGATGATGATGATTTTTCCAGCGTACACTGTCCGCAACTGCGGCAATCAACATCATGCTCCACTTGCCCGCAACTGCGGCCATCACCAACGCTGCGCCTCGAAGCTCCACGGAGGGCGCTCGGCAGGTCGCCCGCTCGAGCCCCACTCGACTTCACGCTGAGGAGGCGAGCCCTCAGGGGCATTGTCCGCAACTGCGGCATGATCAGAGGGCCACCACTGCGCGCCATCAGCGCCCCATTCGCTCGAGCTCCAGTCCCACCAGGACCAGCCCTGCCATCTCGTGGCGGGACTGCGCGCCTCCCATGCGCCGCTGCCGCTGGCGTCCCAGGACCCAGCCGCCACTGCGGCACAAGAAGGGGTCGCATCGTCGCCGTTGGCAGCTTGCGGCGGTGGCGTGTTCCCAGCTCGCTCAGCCCCAGCGTCTCTCCCCGCAACTGCGGTTCCCATCTGGGGTCGGACGCCCTTCCCCGCAACTGCGGTGTCCGCGTAGCTGCCCTTCTTGCCGCCCTTCTTGCCGCCCTTCCTGCCGCCCTTCCTGCGTTCCAACCTCGCGGCGAGTCTTTCAGGTGACCTGCGGCACGTATTGTGCGTGAAAGCCACCAGAGGGAAGTGCGCTCCGTGCCTCGCCCTGCCGAAGGCGCCATGCCATATCTTGTCGTCGAGGTTGCCCTGCTTCACTCTGAAGGGATAGCGCACCCAATCGTCGCGTTCCCTGCGCGCCATCCTTTGCTCGAACTCCGCAACTGCGGTCAAGGATTCGCCAGATGGCGTCAGGAAGGCGCGCATCTTGTTTTCAACGGGCTCAGCCTTGGGCACGTAAGTCTGAAGCATCTTCCCAGGGCCATTCGTGTAG